TATGGTCTAGAGTAAGGGATTTTGTGCTAGGCTTCCATACCCCAAAAAAGTTCTGTGTCACCTCCCAGGGAACAATCTCTGTATTCTGGGATCTGACTTACCAAAGCAGCTAAACTGCAACTACATTTGCCAGTAAGGTAGGCTGACAACTGTAAAATAACGACAACACGGCAATTACTGTTTCACACCCTTAGAAGGTGGTATGCTGAAACTTCAGTGCATATGAAAGGCCATGTGTTGGTAAAGTCTTTGCAAATTCCGTAATTTTAACATTGTTCAAGAGGTCAGAATGTCTAGACAATGTGAAGAATCAGTGAGACTTATGTCGCCGAACGTTTGTTACATGCTTAATTGCATTCTCACCCAAGATAACATACTAGTTGCTATGTGTGCTTCCAATATTTTCTTTGGTATATCCAAAGCTTTTAGACGAATCTGTGCAGTGATTATTTTCACTGTTTAGTCTTTATTTTTAACTACTTAGAGCATCAGTTGGATTAATCTGTAAAACTTGAAGTTTAGTAGTAACAATTAATTGTTAAACTGGAAATTTAATATTTAATTGCATCTGGGAGTAGATACATTTTGGAAGGAATAGTAAAATATGCCAGAATCAGGCTGAATAAACATAACGCCCCATTATGACTTTTATGTATTTGTATAATTTCTTATTGCAGATCCATAATAACTCTTCGGCTGAATAGGGTGCGTCTTCCAGGGATCTCCTCCGATGCTTGCAGTGCAGCCAGGGGTCTGCGCTTTATGCGTGTTGTCCTTCCCATTGTTTGGAAGGTTGATGGCAGCCTGAAAACTGCTGCAAGTTGTGAGCCAGTCTGCCAGGTACTTTTGAAGAACTGGAGCTTGTGGTTTGTGGCCATACTGAAAGCATTTAGCTGTGAACTGGCAAGCTGATGGCTCTGCCTGACACTAAGGATATAGCCCTCAGATGGCTCAGCTGCACCTGTGCCATAACAGCAGCTTGCTGATGTTAGAAAGCCACCTGCAAAAAATTTGGGAGAAGATTGCTGGAGTTAAAAATACAGGGAATGATTGTTCACACTGGTCATTCTGGTATTAGATATACGTACCTTGCAGAAAAGACAAGAATAAAATTCATGCACTGGCAAGTCTGATGTGTTTGCACATCTTTATGACTGTTTTTTCTGTTCAGACTGGTTTCCGTCTTTGTAAAAGAGACTCCCATGTGTGGTGAGAAGAGAAAGAGTGGAACAGTAAGAAAACAGATGCCTATTGGTCTCTCAGTCACTTTTGGCTTAGTCTCTAGTTGCTACTTTTAAGATTAGCATTGTGAATATAGAACTAAGCTATAGCTCGCTTTTCTTTTTCTCCCAAAATGTACATCATGTTTAGGGTAATATCTTCTCCTCCTGACAGTAAATGGTATTTATCGGACCTGTGACTAACTTGGTCTCCCAGCAAAGTTGAGAAGCAAATGAGCAATCAGGAGCACACAATAAAAGTTTTAGCAATATTTTTTGTGTTCTAATAAATGTTGTACTGATTCGCTGTCTATTGGCAGCAATTACTGAGCTGATTTTATTTTTATTACATATTAACTTTACTAGTGTATTTTTAATAAAATATATTTTGGGTCTAAAATTTCAGGTGCTAGGGGATGGAAGGAGGGTTATATTGCTGTGCCAATCTTGCACAGTAGCCAGGATACCTACATGTCCTGCAACCGATGTGAGGGATGCAAGTAAACATACATTTTTAGAACTTGTGATAGCGTAGGCAAATCTCCTTAAATTTATCTCTGTTGGTAAAAGCAGTGGAGATTTAAATCAAGTTCTTGATTTGACTTGGCTGAGTTTCCTGTTATATGGCCTTTTGGAGTTATTTTTTTGTTTGGGGTTTTTATTTGGTTTCTTTTTTCCCCAAAGCTGCTATTCTGGAAATATTGCGGTGCATGTTAGTGAGATGGGCAGGATGACAGGACGTAGAGGAGAGGGGCTGCAATAATGCAGTGTACCTAACCTGGCCAGTTTTTTTTCTGCAGGCTAATTCATTCATAGTACTGCTAGGAGTGCAGCAGTTGGTACATTCAGAACAAAAGCATAGTGGATCAAGAACCTGACCAATATTCATATTTATTAGTATGAGTAGGCTTTTCCTGTCTTAAGCAGAAAAAACGGGAACTCTGAGGAATGCAAAAGTTTCTGTGCTTTCTATTAGAGTAAATGGAAATAAGGAACACAAAAAAATGAGATGCGATGCACTACGTATCTCCCCTCCTCTTTGCTTCTTTCTGTAGGACTGTTTGACTTCAGCTCTGCCATGGCAGGCAGACAATGGCATTAGCTAATTTGGCTCTGTGTAGTGCTGAACATGAATATGAATTAGAGATAAGTGCCTGAGCTCTCATACTGACTTTTGTTTAGCTGTTAATTTGTTTGAATGTTAATGTGCCACATGCACATAAGCCCAATTAGGTTTGAAAATGCTTGCTTTCTTTCCATGGCTTCTAAGACTTGAAGCTTTGTTTTATTTTATAAGCTATTTTAATCAGTTTTATTTTGCTCAAAATAATAAAGAGGACATGTAAACACATCCAAGGTTTCAAACTCAGTGTAACACTGCACTGTGATCTTCCGTCTCTTATGTTAACAGTAAATGAAAAATTACTATAATAAGAGTCTTATTTTGATATTTGCATTTAGTAGTACCATAACTAACAACTGAACTAAGTGTGAGTGTTGGGGTTTCTTTAAGGTTTTACTTTACATAAATGTTTTTACCTCTATAGCCAGAATAACCCTTACTCTAGAGTGAGGATTTTTTTACTTCTTTCCATGGGCATTTTGTAAAGCTTGGCTTCTGAACTCTTTCGTATATGCTATAGTATTATGCATTATTGATCAGCATTGATAATCCTGCTACTTAACACAACTAAGGAAGATGTTCATCTAAGATCGCAGAGCCTGTAGTCTAAACTTTGGATGCACATAATGCACTTGCTAAAGAAACGTTGTTCAGAAAGAGTGGAAACTGAAATGGAAATATACTGGGTTCTGTGGGCACTAACTTCATATTTTAACCTTTTATAAATATTTTATTTGCAGAGGTTTTGGTTTTCCTTTTGCTTCCTGATAACCGTTTTTTTTGCTCACACCAGTTAGTTTGTTCAGAAAGAAGTCTGTAAGTCAACCATTTGGATGTTGTTTTAGATCCCAGTGAAATTCAGTGACTTGAATATTATCTCATATTTTGAGACTGCTATCTGAACAGACCTGCTAGATTTTTCAAAGTTCAGCCATAATTTCTGTCTAGTTTTGGGTAGAGTATAAAAATCTATGTACATTGCCTGAAATTTTGCTGAAGCAGGAAATTGTGTGTGTCTTCTGAAGCTGAAATTAGGAAACAATTAGAAAAATTTAGTGGTACTAGCATTCATTGCTCACAGAAAACACTAACTGTAGCAGCACATTAAAAGACAGCCTCCTGACTCTGTAATGGATAAAGAGGAATTATGTTACATTTGTTTAGAGAAAAAATAATGCTATGTGATCATTAGTTGATTGAGTAGCAGTTCAGTTCCTGCTAAACTAAAAAAGTAATGAAAAATGACGTTTCAAGTTTAGATTTTCATATCTAAGTGGTGTTATTTTATTTAGGCTCAGAAATGAGCTGATCTGGGAACTCTCCTACTTCCAATGACCGATGAAGAGTACACTGAAGTGGTGATACTCTGGGAAGGCCACAGGGTATTGTAAATGGTCCATCATGCTAAGTGTTTGTTTTCAGTATGTTCAACTCACCGTAATATTTTGAATGTTGAAAGACAGGGTAAACCAGAATTTCAGCCAGCATCCAAGCCTCACGTGGCTATTTGATTCATTGCTAGCATATTATTCCACATTAAAAAGTTAGGAAATTAACCAGTTTAGTACCATATAAGCAACAAAGTTTTGACATGAGCTGGTTTATAACCATTCAGCATGTCCTATGTAGAGCACAGAAATTACATAAACACTGTTTTCCCCGATTTGAAGTCTATTCAATTGTTTAGGTAAGGTGTAAAATAATCATCTTCTCTTTTACCGGGAAACATATAAGCTCCTAACTCACTTTCTGGTTTTGACAAATTTTATCAAATTGCAGAAATAATATGAGTGAATACTTTAGCCATGATTGAAATTCAGGTGTTCCTGTCATATATGATTTTGCTCTGATCCCTAGGTAACACATCTTAGCATAATGGTGGTTTTATCCGTTTTTCCCTTTAGTTCAGTTTCTGAGGATATTATATGGGCATTTTTCCATTAAAAAAAGAAATATTTTTAATATTAAAACCGAATCATGGATATCGGGTTGTATATATTTATGGTGGAAAAAATATATACAGTGACTCTCATTTGTGTTATTAAATCTTTACTGATTTTTTTATAACTAAATTAAACTAAATTATTTTTGAGTTTCTGCAATATATGTCTATTTCCAATTCAGGCCAAATTTCTTTATATTAGCTAGTTGAAATGGTAACAGCAGCTGGTGAAGCCATAATATTTTATCCAATGATGCCTGTGTCACATTTCATGCCAATTATTATATCTTAAGAGATTCGGTTATATGAAGTTTTATCTACAACCAGCTTGTGCTCCCTGGCTTTTAAATTCAGTATCACTGAGCAGAATGCTAGGTTTTTGCATCAGGCAATGTGCCTTTCAATGGTTAAAATATTTCTAAAAAGGGTGGAGAAAAATCCCTCAGCAGAATGAAAAATATTTCAGATACCGTTTTTGGATGATGTCCAGTTTCTACATTAAAAATGCTTTCCAACACCAGACGAACCCTGAATCATAACGACTCATTTTGTACCATGTGCTCTCTGAAAAGAAAATGAGATCAGTAGTTAAATGAAATGCCCACAGAGCCTGGGCATGGTGCACAAGATCAATAAAGATGATAATGCAGAGATGTGGGAGGACACTAAACTGGTCTGTTACTTAAGATTTATTTTGTCTTCCTGAATCTTTCAGAGTGCTCTATGGAAACAAGATCACAGAGATTCCCCAGGGCCTTTTTGATGATCTTGTGTCTCTGCAGCTGCTGTGAGTATGATCCCTTCCTCTTCTTTATTTCACAGACTAGCTAGATTTACTGTTTTTTCAGCTTCTGACATTAATATAATCACCTTTTCCATTGAAAACTCACTGGGACTTGCTAGTCTGTTCTTTCTGTGTCAGGCAAGAGGGAGGCAGGGGCTGAAAAAAAAAGGAAGGTGCCAACAGTTTTATAGCTCAGTGTGTATAATGGGCAATAGACACACAGGATTTACGTGTGGGGAGGAAATGAGAGACTCGGTGAAGTCCAAGAAAGGAAATTTGGTCACCGGCTGTTGTGCGAGTGGGGATGCCATCTGATTGATTGTTTTTACACATTTTGCATTTGTGGTTGAATATCTAGATCCTTGAGGGCTACTGTGTTGCAAGTACCTGCGCATGCAAGCAAAATGGCAATATGAAAGATTTTATTGTTGTGAGCCATGCTCAGTTCCATAGTCTTATTATGCCACATGTGGCTTAATTGCAAGAGAAATGGCTTCAGAATATATTGCGTATCCAAGTATTTTATGCCATGTGTGATTTAACACACAGTCGTGATCGGGGTAAGACATAAATCATATGCTCTTCAGTCTTTATTAATGTGGCATAAAAAATTTCCTAAGCCAAATGTGAAATTGCAAATTTCACTCACTCTTGTCTCCATAATCACATTGGGAACCAGTAACTCCTTCAAAGGGAAGGAAGTCAGCTGCTGTTTCAGCCAGACAGTAGAGGGAGAAGTGAAGTGGGTTTAATATGTATTCCTAACGTTCTGATTACCATCATGGATGATGCACTCAGAAAGTAAAGGTGATATATGGTAAATTAATCAATTCTGGTTTATATGACACACAACCCTCCACCCTCAAACAATAAATTATATAAAATACAAAATAAAAAGTAGGTTTTAGACATGTTATTTTAAACCTTTTCTGACTGTCTTGATGTAACCAGAAATGAGTGTCCGAAAGTTCATGATTACCATTGAACGTGTCACTCTATGATTGCAGTCTTTGCTGCATTTACCTAAAAATAAGCATAGATTTAGATTAAAAATCCTTGAGCAAAGCCAAAGAACTGAAATATGAAATAATTGAAATTTTATGTTAAGTGAAGATGTATAATTTATCTGTAAGATCTTAGTTGCAAACATGAGCCACCCTATTCTAGAGAAGGGCAAGCAAGAGCGCACATATGGTTTGGTTATGACAATCCTTGAGCTGCGACAGTGGGAAGCTATTTATCTCCTCCTGCACAGCCAATTATTTTGTCTTCACCTTTTGCACATGCGTTTTCTGGGAGCTCCTTTCATCTCTCCTGTCCCAAATGTCACAAGTTCAGTGTCTTCATGGCCAGCCTGCGCAGTAAGAGAAGACTGTGTATTTAGGGGGAGGTAGTTTGCCTTGTGTGAGAACAACAAGCATGAAAGCGCTTAGAAGCTGGGACTCAGCACATGTTGATATAACTGGCGTGTTAGTCATTGTCAGACTCAGGCTGTGTTTGGTACATTAAAGACACTGCAAGCAAAAGGAGAGCTAAAACTTAAATTGTCACTTTGACCTCTGAGAAAAAAACTGTATTCAAAAAAATCTGAGCTTTATCATAGTACTCCCCTCCAAATATTTTATGGTTGCATGTTTGAAGTGATACATAGTTGCTCTGTCTAACCCAGGACATTTTACAGTTGGGATGGTTGCCAGTAGGAAGAAAAAAAATAAAATCACTCAACACATGGCTCACAGTGTCCTATAAAAACGTGGGCCTAGAACTTTTGTGTAAACCTTTAAGTAGGTTTCAATGCCTTTATACTATAGTTCTTGTGCGCATGTAATGCAGGCTTTACAACGAACTACATATTTAAGCCCAGATGCAGTAATTTTCCGGTCTGAATTAGCTCAAGTGATGCCTTTTTGTTAAGGGGGCAAAATATATATTCCAAAGAACAATTAAAACATGTTATACTTAAACCATTTAAACACTCTGGAGCTGAGAAGAGGTAAGTAGGCTGCCCCGTTATGGGATTCCCAGAGTATTGTGGCTCCGGAGCCTTTCAGGGTATTCTTGAAAGCGTTTGAATGCAAAGCAGCTTTTGGCAAGGAGAGCATTGAATGATCATGCTTTAAACGTGAACAAATATCCACACACTTTTCTGATCGTGGCTGTGAAGCAGCTATTGTGGGACTGCTTGTAGTATTTTAATGGATACCAAAAAAAAAAAAAAAAAAAAAGGCATTCATTGGTTTTAGACCTGCTGTTGAACAGTTGGAAGAGTGCCCTATGATTAGATCTAATTTAGTGTTCAGTGGTCTCTAGATTGGATTTCTTCTTATTAGTCTGGAGACACACTGATAAGAACTCTCTGATTAAGGTATCCTGGTAGCCAGTATAATTTCCCAAGCTTGAGCTGGAGCATTTTTGAAAATATACTGGTGTTACGGTAAAGTAGGACACAATCAGAAAAAGGGAGTCGTCATAGGTCCTGTATAAAATCATTGAGATTCTATTTAGAAGGAAAAAATAATTACTTGGAAATTGCAGAGCAGATAATACTGTTATTTAATGTTTTGGATAAGACTCATCGGAGTTTCGCAGAAATGTCGTTATCCTTCTGTTTAAATGTACTGTCACAATATAGGCCCAGATTATTCCACTTTTATTCTTACAGAATTGTTTTGTGTAAGTGCTGTACATCCGCAGACAGTACCATTGATGTCAGAAACACTGTAGCTGGGTAAAGTAATGCTCAGCTCAGGCATGACAGCATCTTAAACTGCCCCTTTTGACTCTGGTGTATGAGAAATGAAGATTTCAGACCAAGCTTTAGACCACCTGACTAGCATTAGAATTCTGGTATTTCTGTCATATAAGGCAGAGGTGGGTAGGGCAGTATTATATTATATTATATTATATTAGGCAAGAAAATAACCAGGCATGGTTAGATAATCAGATGGGTTTTTGCTGGGGTGGTGGGGTGGTTTTTTTTGTGTTTTTTTTTTTTAAACCTATTGGTTTAATTTAAAATGTTACTTCTGAAGTCTTCATTGTAATTATCTATCTTAATTAGTTAACATTCCCCACGTAAATAATCACAATTGGATTTCTGTTAAATTGCTGATTTCTTAAATCTTATGTCTTCCTAAATATGCAATTGTAACCAACACAGCGGCAAACATTATTACAGAAGTCCAACTACACATCTGTTCTGTGGAACAGAAGCTTTTCTTGGACCATGTAATTTTCCTTATCCTGTTTCAAGTTTCCAGGAGAGAAGACACTAGAAAGCTACTATACCCTATCCTCATACATTCTTCTTTTTGCAGGCTGGATCAAGTGTCTTCTGAGAATTTTAGGTCAATTTAGATTTTAGAGGCTATACTGTTTTCAAGAGAAGGACAACTGGAGTCTGTTTTTTCATGGTTTTGTTTTGGGTGTGGTTTTTTTTTTAAGTAAACTGAAACTTTTATTTCATTGGGGCAACAGTCCATCCAAGCTGTGAAGTAGTGTTTCATTAATTATCGTTTTTTGTGTGATTTGCACTTGAATATCAAAAGAATGGAAAGGGTTTCAGTTTAAGGTGGAAGTTTTCAAGTAACCATTAGCCGTGGCCAGTTCGAACTCCTGTCCAGGAGGCCTCAGACTAACCTTGGTCTGTCTAGAAACTGGCATATATTTGAATGTCCTTCTCACCTGTCTTTCAGTTTTCCTGGAATGTGGACAGGCTCTTTCAGGAGCCCTTGGGTTTGCCAAACTGTCTGCCTATCACTGCACAGGGGGCACAATATAACACTGCGCAGCTTTTTCTTTTTCAGCAGCCCCGTGACAGATAAAGCTGAGGGTTGCTCTGCTTGCTTTGCTCCCAAATGAGCACATGTGCAGAGCCAGTCTGCAGTGAAACAGTGAGTCAAGTGGCTCGAGATAAGTGGGCTGTGGATAATGGGCACCAAGTTTGTTAACCAGTATTTTTCATATCTAAGTAATACACTTTCCTCTCTGCAACCATATTAAAACAAACATTCTGGGAGCCTTTTTATTGCAGTTATACACTGTGTGCTTCACAGTGCTCTATTGCCTGGAACGAGAAGGTATCATAAAATCTCCACTGTTGAAAGAGATTGTGTAGCAAAATAATATAGGGCGATGAAATCTCATTTTTCAAATGTCTGGCAAGACAGTTTCAGTTTTCAATAAATCCTTTTCCTTGAGGAAATTTACTTTGCATAGTTACTAATCATACAAGTGCTCAGGCGTGTTGATCCTAAATCTTATGGTTGAGATCCCCATGGCTTGCTGGGCAAGAAAGAATCCCTATAGTGGACTCTGTTTCAGTGTTGCTAGAAGTAGGTATACTCCTGGGGTACACAAATATTGAAATCAGAGGTTTGTTCTATTCCTCTCTCATAAAATGAAGCCAAAAGCTTGCAGCCTTCTCCTCCTCCTCCTCATGTCTGATCATTAGGGAAAACTCAACGTTGTAGCTAGAAAAGACCAATATTGGTGCCTGGAGTTTGACATATTGACAGAAAAAGTAACTACAAAAGTGGTGAAAAATTAGACTTCCAGATCCAACCATCTAACCTGGGTTAGAGTTGGAACTGGATCTAATATTTACAACTTCAACTGACCTTTATTTTAAATAGACTTGTATGAAGTGACAAGTCTTGTGTGTACTTTCAGAAACTGCTATCATCAGTCTTCCCAAAATTCAACCAGTTAAATTTTGCTTGGAGTGATTCTCCTTTTTAACCTGCTTTTTTATGCTGCTTTTCCTTGGATGAAAAGTGAGATGCTCGGTACTCGCATAGCTCTTGTGGTCAGGTTGCTTGGAAAACATCTCCATGGCAAATTTGCCAAGCTTGAAGTGCTTGTGTTGATTTGTGATTGTAAATTGAATCCCAGTACTTAAGAGCTTAAAATAGGATCTACCAATTATTTATTGTGTACTTTTGGAGCCTGTTAGAAGCTCAAAGAAAATCCAGTGAAGCACAAACCCATACAAAGTATTTAAA